GGGGGGGGGGGGGGAAGAACTGATGTTACCACTGTATCTGCCTTCTTCTCCTTGGGTTCCTTTGCATTCACAACAGTTCAAGATTAGCCACCCTGTTTAAGTGAGGACTTCCGCACCCAGCTTCCCCATCTGCTGTGCCCCCCTTTGCTTGGTATCAGAGCCCTGTGTTGGAGGGAGGATGCAGGCCTCTTCTTCAGTGCCCTCCAGTGGAGTAGGACCCTGGAGATATCTCAGCCAGCCAGAAGCCCCAGGCACTGTTTCTTCTAGGGACAGTGAAGGTGCAGATGAAGGGGTAAAACCAAGCATGTGGCTTCTGCTGGGCTTTCTTGATCCTGTAAGGGGACGACTCTTCTGGTTTGCCCAGAGAGATAAAGCACTTGGGAGTGCCCAAATACCAGAGGACAGTGAGCTGCACCCAAGCTGACATCAGGCCAGGTAAGTCATGGTTGCTTTAATGATAAAGACAATGTCATGACAGGATTGGACTTGGAAGGATGCTGCTGCTTTTCTTATAAAGGGCAGTTTATTCATGTGTGTAAATGATAGGAAGGGTTTAGGTTGTAGCTTACATGGTACAAATTCATGTTACATTTACCATAATCCCCCCCTGCCCTCCAGTGGGTGAAGGTCTTGAGGACTGTAAATGCCTAAATGACCCCTGTTAAAATCTCCTAAAACTGTGTAATCACTGATCAGATACAGACTCCAGCACGACCAGCTGGCTCCCTTTTCTGCAGCCCAGGGGCTATATAGTATGCCACTTCTCCATGCTGACTTGCATGAGTTTGTTAGGTTGTGATAAGTATTTGACATTCTTCACTACAACGTGCAAATTGTTAATCTGGAGTCATCTGTAGGAAGCTGGAGACCAGCCACTAGGGACCCAATTTAGCAAGATGCTCTGCAACATGTCCAGAGAGCGTAGAACAGTAGTCAGGAATGCCTCTTTCACCTTCACCGATGCCTGCTAATTGGCTTCAAACTTGCCAAAGATAGAATTCAGTTTTTATCCATACATATGATCAAGAGCTCAAGCCTTTCATTTCTGAACTCATGGCTTACTGTTCTATGCAGTGCTGCTAAACTAACACTTTGGCTTGAGGCGCCTTCACCAGGGCAGAGAAATCTCAATGCCCTATTCTGAGTGCATGCCTTCACACTTTCATCTTGAATTTAAGGTTTTTATACTGTTTTTTATACTTTGTGCTCAAATATGAAAGGTTCCCCAGAGGTTACCTGTTTGCAATAGGCACCTCAACTTCGCTCCACTGTGTGCTAAACTGAAGAACCTCTCAGATTC